TTCAGGACTTATTTATGTTTAGGTCACAGATCGACCTGTTAAGGACATTGTCGCATGTTCTGTTTTAAACATATCTTTGTCTCACAATTGAATCCACTCGAGTATTTTCATTTCACACTGATAGTAGATCCGGATATTTACCTTCAAATAGGGGACATATTTTCTGCCAGCAGGTAATGCTTCCCTGTTTAGTGTACTGGCCGAGAGACGTCTCCAGCAGAAACAAAGGAATGCCGCAGGTGAAGAGGAACAGTACATACGGGATGAAGAAAACCCCTGAAGAATGTCAAAAAGGTACATAAGTTGATTGTAGGTTGAACATTTGAATTCATTCAGAATCGTCAACTCATTTGATATGCAGCTGAAACCAGAAGTTTACATACACTGTATAAAAACACCTGTTTTTCCTCACTGTCTAACATTAAATCAGACTAAACCTTTCCTGTTTTAGGTAAGCTAGGATTACCAAAATTATTTATATCATTTTCCAACATCAGTTCAGCAGATTGGACCGGTTTAAACCGACACTGTTGTGTTCACCTTGTAGCGCTTTTGTTGCTTGCAATGCAAAATAGTGTATTTTCTTTGATCATAATGAAACTCACCTCCTCCATTTTTGTAGCAAAGGTAAGGAAACCGCCACACATTTCCCAGGCCTATGATTTGTCCTGCAACAGCCAAGAGGAATTCAATTTTGCTGGACCACTGCCCTCTTGGCGGGGTGCTAGGTGCAGGATGGTTTGTGCTGGTATTCAGCCTGAACTTGACCTCTGGAGCATAGGGCTGATCCATTACGCTGTAGAGAGATGATAACATTTCTGATGTGACACAATCATTTGAGAGACTGAGGTATTCATAAACCATCTGCTTATCTACAGCTGTGTATTATTTGAGCATTATTATTTAAATATGAGGTCACTTTTCTTGTTATGCATCAATTCCAAGTAAAAAAAAAAAAAAGCAACACAATCACATCATAGCAGGAATAATGAGATGATTATTTTGCTGTATATTAACATCCATTATCCACACAATGCCAGTAGTCTTGCTGCATTAGGTCAACAGAGGGTCGCTGCCGCTTGGCATGAGGG